AAATATCTAGAAATTCGATATATGGCCGATATTTTACGAATTATATCAATCTGGAAATACATTTACACGCAAAAAAGGCTAGTACGCTCAACCTCGAACTCATAGGATTTTTGGGCTTAGGGTTTATGGGAATTAATTGGAGCATACAAAGTATATTCATTCCATGTTATAGAAATTTATTATTTTTTATGCATTCATAGATAACGCAATGTTCACTTCAGCAATGATCTAGATAACTGAATAATTGAATGATTTGAAATTCTAGTGTACAATAACTGGGTCAATGATTTGTGTAGCTCACACGGACAAATTCACAAAAATGCATTTATTGCCTCATTTATTTCCGACAAATTAAAACAGAAATGTCGCTGTTGTGCTACAGAAAAGGTTTGACTTTGTTCCATTCTTAAAACGTACTGCTTAATCCTAAAACAGGATCAGGTCAATTTATTGAAATTATTCATACGACAAATATAAACCATAATTTTAATTCTGATGCTCTTAACGTTTTCATTGTTTATTCTAACTTGTTAATTTGAAAATCAATTACGGATTCTAATTGTTTTCGTAACCATGTAAGTAGTGTTAGTTGAAAACGTTGAAAACTTAAGTAAAAGCATTTAAAAAAGTAACGAATTCGCTGCCAAAGCGACGGCTGATTTTTACGTTTCGATGAGTGTAAATATTTGTTTACTTTTACATTAAAAATGCAAGAAATAAAAAAAACTTAATAACTTATTCTGTTATTTTCCGTGGGTAAGGATGTAGCGTCTGTATAACACGAAATATTTTGTCCTATCTGATGTCTATCGCATTAAAAAATTAAATTACACAACGTATTTTAAAAGATATTAAAAGAAAATCGATTTTCAGGGGCATCCTTTAGAGGCCTGTATCGCCGTAGGGGGGAGGGGGCTCTAGGGAAAATTTTTATATGGTTCTGTCATGTGTCATGTTATTTTAACGTCCCCTGTATAAATCCGAGAGATTGCCCAGATATTCTGGGATACCCTGTATATTAACAAAAAATTAATATGCGTCGTCACTTAGGGAGCGTTGTACTGTTTTCATTATTTAATTACTTTCATTGACCTGCAAAAAAATTTGTCTGCCATCGAAACTCATGCGTTACTTACAACTTGCCGATGTTGCATTTTAACGAGTCAAAGACGTCAGCGTTTTTTAAAAAGCTCATAGTAGTTTCTTTTTAATACTGGTATTAAAAGTAATTTACGTTAAACACTAGTGTTACAATACATGGTAACTCACAACTCAATGCACATAGAACAGGTGCGTGTAGAGGACACCAAAACCGGTAGATTTTCCATATGAATTTTTTTTCTCATACCTATGGTTTGCGGAGATATTGGCGTCAGAAAATGTCTTAAAAAAAATCGAAAAAACTAGGTATTTCAGCAGTGCCTCATTTTGTAAATATATTTATTTTATTGACGTCATTAGCTGGTATAAACTTGAAGTGAAGGTTTAGGGGTAGGCCACCCTTAAAATTTTATAAATTTTTTCAACCCTAACTTAATTTATAATTAAAGTCTACCAGTTTAATAGCACATTCAATTTTACACTGTTTTTTATTCTTGTCAATTTTTCGAGAAACCGTTTTTGAGAAAATAGCGATTTTGTGAACCAATTAAATCGAACAAAAATATGTGGTTTTATATTTGCGGGTAGGCTACGCTACTACTGCTTTAAGGCCCACTTTTATAACCTAGGTTTAAACCCGAAATGAAGTTTATCTTTGACAGATAAACAATGGTATGTTATGTTAAATCTGCAAGTTTAAACTTAGGTTACAAAAGTGGGCCTTAGCATCCAGACATGCAAATAAAATTGGTGCCAAGGTACTCTAGACCTGGATTTTTTTGGAGCAACTTTTAATAGTAGGTCGTGATTAAATATGTAGTTGTTCAGATTTGGAAGATTTTTTGCAAACACGAAATAAAACGTTGTCGTTTTATTAAATTATTTATTAATTTCGTTCAACGCAAAATTTAACAAACAGTATGAAACTAATTAAGTAATAGTAAAAAAATTAACACTGAAGATGCTGTTCAAAACGGCTCCCATTTTCTCTTATAAATAGATGAACCCTTTGCCGAAACTCAAAGTTTACTCTATTCAATAATTTAATGTCATTTTTTATAATGGTGCATTTATTATTGATGCTATTCATGACTTGTGCATATTTATAATCCCTCTCCGTGTAAACCCAGCTTCATCCGTGAAAAGAATTGATCCTGTGGAAACCAATGATCTAGGATGAAATTACAAAAAAATCATCCTTGGCTCGAGGTCTCGCGGTAATAGTTCTTGAACTTTTTGAAAAAGATATGGATCCAGCAGATTACTAGGCCGGGAAAATAAGCTGGGAAATGACCATTTCGCAACTTTTTGTTTCGGCAAGCTGAAATTATCACTATAGATGCTAAATATTATGTACAATAACATATTAGTTTACACAGTCATAAAAATGGGGGGAAGATTGTTTACAGGGTGGTTAATTGTATAATTTTTACGTAAATTCACGTTTTTCGCTTATAACTTTTTTTTTTTGTTCATTTCCACGAGAAAATAGTAAAGTACTTTTTTTTCGTCTTCAAAAGACCTACAAAACTAGTCCTCGAGCGTAAAAAAATATTGATTAGATAAAAAATATAAACAGAAGAAGTTTATTTATGACTTTTGAATTAAAAATTTATAAACTGCGTTATTATTACCAAAACGTTTTGGTATCGCATCCCCTCATTCCTTATCACTGTCTAATAACTCACACGAAATCTGGAATCGGTAAATTGAATAGTTTACAAGTTATGGCCAAATTAACTAATTATTAGTCTGGACGATCCCGCGGATCTTCCACAATCGCACTGATTTTTTTCATGGTAGATTTCATAATAATACATCGAAATCTATCATTTCTTTTTTTTAATTTCAAATGTGCAACCTGGATTTTTTTTTTTATTTCTAGCCTTAGTCGCAAACGCACGCATGAGGGAAAAATTCAAATGAAAAATCAACTTGTTTTGGTGTACTCTACAGGCACCTGTTCTCGGTTCATTGAGTTGTGAATCACACTGCTAATAACCTATATCTGATATTACAGCACATAAAATATAGCATTTCTAAAAATGGCATAAACTTTTTGCACTAGAACTCAAAGTAATGACTTTTTAGCACTAGTATTAAAAGAGATTTATTTTAAACACTAAAGTTATAACCTATATGCTAATAAAAGATACATTTGTGATTGCTGTATTATAACGGAATCAAAGACGTCAAGGTTCTTGCAAAAGCAAGTTGTCAGTGTCAAAATTGTATTTTATAGTCCACAGTACACGACTTTTCTCGATTTCCTCCGCTTTTCCACTTGGAAAAGTCCAAAAACATGGCAATTTCCCGGGGTCTTGATAAGTCAAGACCACATCTTTTATTTTTAGCTTCAGTTACTGGAAATTTTGTTGCAAATGCCGATTTAAATTTGTCCGACATAAATTCTTCCGACATTGACGTGTCTACCGGTCGAAACATGCCAAAATAACAGGGTATTGAAAATCAATTACCACATAGGTAATTTTTAGTAAAATAAATTGTAAATAATTAATTCAGTCAAAATGTATTGTTGTCCGACAAATTTTAAAGTTTTTTCAGTCCGGCAGCTGAAAATCGGAATTTTCACGGGGTATGATAAATCGATTACCACATGTCGGACAAAAATAACACACGATAGAAAAGTGTTTTTTATAAGTAAAAATTACAGGGTGTTTCAGAAAGACCTCCTATAAATACAGGGGGTGAGGACGACAAAAAATAAGAATTGTTTGCCATATGACCTGTATGTCTATCTCCTCCTGTTTTCGAGATATAGAGCGACAAAATAAAATTTTTTAAATAACATTTTTATGAAAATTTCCGAACGGTGCGAAATATTTTTATGAAATTTGGTATTCCGAGGTTTTTAAAGATGCCAAATACGCTGGTCTAATTATTTTTTGTATATTTCATAGAGGACGCTAGTTCATGTTAGAACTTCCTAATGTGGACGATTTTCGAGAAAAAAGGCTTTTAATTAAACTCTTACAATATTACGGTGTATAAAATAAGTGACTTTTCTCAAAGCTCAAGCTTACTTTGAGAAAAGTCACTTATTTTATAGTGTAATATTGTAAGAGTTTAATTAAAAGCCTTTTTTCTCGAAAACCGTCCACATTAGGATGTTCTAACAAAAGTACATTGTTTTTAGAAAATAAAATTGTACATTAGAAATTTTCGTAAAAATTCTATTTAAAAAATTTTATTTTGACTCTCTTTATCTCGAAAACAAGAGGAGATAGACATATAGTTCATACGACAAAAAATACGACAAAAAATTCTAATTTTTTGTCGTATATATTTTACGTTTTATTCTTGTAATTGTAAATCTCTTATGCTCAATTTAGCCAAATAAATATGGAGACAAGAATTAAATTATTTAAAAAAAGTATGTATGGTGTAAAAAAATTGTGCACAAAAGTTTTGGGATTTTCTTTTAGAAAAATAGGAAAATTTGTGTAAAGAAAAATAACAAACGCCAATGAAATCTTGAAAGAGAAAAAAAGATTTTTATATCAAGTATAATATTAATTTATTTAGAAATAATGCATTATGCACTAAAATCGTATTAATCGCCTCAAAAATAACTTCATTTGTTTATAACTTTTAAATTTTTAAGCATAAAATAAGCAATATTATAATTATTTGAAACAAATAATAATTTACATAATAATAATTAATAACCATTTATAAATATGAAATTTTTGGAGTGAAAAAATTGCTCCTCAGAAGTTATAAAGTATGTGGCAATCAACTTTCCAGAGGGGGCCTGTACTGTGGACTATAAGGTCCAAAGCAATTTCTTCGAAGCACTAGTATTAGAAATTATTTCCTTTGAACTCCGGTGTTACAATGCCGTATTATAACCGATAAAAAATACCAGTGATGCTTACCCTCAACTTCTTCATCTGCTTACATAACCTCAAAATGTCTCGAACTCCTCTGACGTTGATGTAAGTCGCCAATTTGATAGCTTCGTTGAATTTAACAGTCGCTGCGAAGTGTATGACGCAGTCCACTTCAGAGATAAGTTTCTCCCTGTCCTCATCGTTTAGCCCTAGGTCCGGCAGGCTGACGTCTCCTACCACTATTTTTATTTTTTGCTTGAAATTTGGGTACTTTCTTTTAAGCGGGTCGAAGCTCTGAAATGTTACAAAATGTGTTCATCTTTATCTGAATAAAGGATTTAGATGATAAATCATTTTTTAATAATGTATAATCGCTCACTCATCCGAAATGTGTAAGTTTGTGCTTCTTTTTGGAAACGCAAATTTATACTTTTTGCTCGGTTATACAAAATAATATTATCGAGGTGGGATACCAGAAATTACGAAAATGGACGTCACTTTGAGATATCAAAAAATAACTTACAGGTTCATCGAAAAGTTCGTCGAATCTCTTGTACACGTCCTTGCCTTTCTTCGCTCTAATGAGTATGTATATCGCATTTAAGTTGGGACAGGTACGGAGTAGTTTTTCTATGCATAGTTTTCCTAGGAATCCAGTGGCGCCCGTGATAAATACGGTGGAGTTCTTGTAGAACTCCAAGATGTCGCTGTCTTGTGCGGGAACTATCATGTCGGATGCGGTTATGTCACCACCCTCCCTCTCATAGTGTTCCATTTTTTTTTTTAGCGTTGGACGCCTGAAACAAACGAGAAGATATTATTGAAATAGTCCTGCCCTATTTAAACTCGGCAAAGGAAAATAAGGGAGCAGAAAAATTTCCAGATTTTCTTAGTGATTTTAGAAAGGAAGTAACTTTGTTTTAGCTCAATATATGCCCATGAGATGTAAATTTGAAATCCATCGGTAAAACCGTTTTCTTCACTGAATCGTCAGTTTTATAAAAAAGTTAAAAGAGAAGGTTTATTGCTCCTTAAACCTCAATTAAGCTGAAAAAAAAATTCTAGCGATAAAATATCGAAAAAAAATTATTTCTACAATTTCACATTAAATATTTCAAATGTCCAAGTGTTGAAATTAAAAAAAATATATTGAAATTTCAAAATATTCAGAAAGTTATATAGTCCAGTCACTGAAGGCGAAAATAAGGTAAAAGCTCCCAATTTTTTCGGATAGAATGGATTTTCCTGAAAATTTGCATACAAGCTCATCTGACCCCCCCCCTCAAAAGTTTTATTGTCTAGATGTGTGTTTTTTTCTATTTAGGGATGAAAACTACCCTTGTACGAAAAAAATGCGAAAATTGCAGATTTACGTTTTTAAAGATTCAATTCATGTTCAAATATGTTGGATAAAGTTCCTTTCATGTTTTTTAATATAATTTATGAAATCTAATTACTTTTCAACCCTTAAAAATCCTTAAAAAATGGCCAAAAAATAGAAAAAAAAGGTTTTAACAGTTTAAAATATTCTTTTGGTGCATTCACAATGTATTGCATTTCTTTTGTTATTCATTAGAAGGCTTACGACTCATTACAAAGTTGCAACCCTTAAAAACCATCCCTTATAATAAAATAAAATATTAATGAAAGCTTGAGATGTTTTAATGGCATGGCATGTTGAATTATAAACTTTTTATTGGTTTTCAAAGGATCTATGATATATTGTAACTTTTCAGCCACCCAAAAAACCCTTATAGAAGACCTATCCCTCATAAAAAAAACCTACCCCTTATAGAAAAATTTCCTAAAAATTATATGTGAGTATGATGATGCTTTTGAAAATCATTAACGATTCAANAATTTTTTTTTAATTTTATTGAATTTATTCTTAATATTTTCTTATTAAATTAATATCATATAAAACATTTTTTATATATGTACATTATAAATGGATGTATTATACAAAATGGTTTAAAAATGGTCTGTTATTTTTTACATGTGCGCATACAGAATTTTTCGCTTGGTGCCAATCTAAATTCGAGGCCTTGGACAATTTCCGAATGTACACATACATATACATGTGAACTCGGATACGTGTGTGTATCTATATTATTAAAATACTTACTCAAATCAGTTCACAAGTGCTCCAAAATACACAAAGATGTTGGTAATTTCCGAAAATTTTACCGAAAAAATGCGATTAATTTTTTGACCATAACTTTTGTAATTTAAGTTATAAATTTACTGAAAAACCCTTTTTATAGAGAATTTAAAGCACTTTAAGTTCTGTGATTTGCCGTTTTTTTTGAGCCCTTCGTTTTTTAGATTTATAAGCTAAAAAAGATCAGGAAAGGCAGTCTTGGAGCATCTTTTTTCTTATCATTTTTTAATAACTTTGTTAGTTTTTGAAATATTTTGAAAAATGGCGATTTTTTAAACAATTGAAAATTTTATTCAAAATGAAATATTTTTTAAAATTTAGGCTTCTAAAATCGTTCAAATTCCCACAATCTACTGTTAATATATAAATAAAATAAATTGCAGAAGGAATACGTTTAATTTTTTTTCCGTCAAGTCATTACGTAATTTTAATAGCGATTTTTTTTCTCAAAAATCAAGACAATCATTTTATTTTGATTGTAACTTCATTAGTTTTCATGCTAGCGACTTTTACCATCAGTCAATTTAAAGGTCTTTTCAAAAACTTTAATAAGTGTTATACAAGTTTTCCTCGAAAATCCTTTAATTTTTCCGCCACAGGACGCTGAACGTTTCGATTATAGCTATCTTCGAAATTGACTTCAATTTCTGGGAGTCATAACTCGGGTTCTATACCACCTAAAAAAATAAAAAAGCAATATCTTTGCTATTTAAAATTACCTTAATTTTTGCTTATAATCATGTTCTTGATAAAACTTGTAGTTTTTGAGATATTCGCGAAAAATGGCCCAAAAACAACCATTTTTGGGCTAAAAACGAACATGTTTAGGCGCAAATAACTCAAAAAGTATTGACTCTATCGAATCGTGAGGTTATTTTTAATAAAAAATTCCCACCCTCCAGAAGGGGTGGCATCCACCCCTAGGGTGAAAGCACACATCGGCACTATATAACTTTTATTTCTTGGGCTATTCCCTAGCTACAGTTCAACTGATATGACTAATATGGTTTCGTGTCCAACGGGTTGAAACACGGTCATCTTTCGGTCGACATTCCACTAACAGTAAGGCACGGTATAACGTGTCCCAACCTTAATAGGTATTCACAATCTTCATATGACATTCATTACTTTTGATCACTACAATGTACACGTAAGTTGCAAAAGTCGCAAGGTAATGCCATATTTATATGCTATGCGGAACTTGTAACAATTTTTGTTCGGAATTGAGTAAAATTGACCTCATTGAATGGACGTATACTATTACTACTACATACATACTTTCTAGTTGAATTTTCTTCTGTAATCCGGTTTTGGTATACCTACGAAAACGCCTTCACGGGGGCGAACTGTTATGTACTTTTGCGATACAACAAGTAAATATTTTGCTTTTAGATTTAGAGGTAAGATTAATTGTTTTTTAATAATAAACATTTTATTGCTCTCTTATTATTATTAGCTGTTTATTTTGAAGGGTTAATTGTTATACATTATTTACGTATTGTATGTTTCATTTCATTGTTTACACTTATTCAGTTTGATACAGCAGTAGTTTCTTTTTGTTGTTTCTATCCTCAAAAACGATGTTTCTGAGAATACGGACAAAAAATCTAATTATACAAATTGGAAAAACAAATGAAGATCAATGAAAAAAAGGTGAACTATAAAAATAACAGCATTTTTTTGTAATTGATTCTTCCAAAATCGCATACCATTAACATTCCAAATGTATTACAGTAGTGTTAATATAAATTATATTGACATTTTCCATACCGTATTTTTATATTGTGCTGTTTTATTCACAAAGATCTAAATGTGTAATTATGTAAATGTATGTATAGTCTTCCATTTTTCTCATACCCGAAAGTTTTAAGCGGTCTAAAATCATAAACATGATGACATGTAATATTCACAATATTTACTAGTCATCTTAATGTAGATGTTCTGCTAATTTTATAGTTTACAGGGAGAAAAACTTCATTAAATTCCAAAAAAAAATTTATTTTATCACAACAAAAAATAATATGTATGGTAATATAATGTATTTCAACAATAACTTAAGACTCAACATCATAAACTTAAGAAGGATCCAGTATGTATCTCTAGGTACTATACGTTCAAACTGTAATATACAGCGTGTATACAGGGTAGCCCATCGAAAACGTACCGCAAGGCATTACAGGGTAGTAATGAACTTTTCGGCAAAATCCAAAAACAGGTAAAGTTTGCTTCTGAGGGGGACAACTTTTGGCGCAAAAAGCATAGCAAAATCTTCAACCCCCTAAGTGGGGGTGCCATCCCCCAAATTTTTTTAAATGGGAATGGGGGTCAAGTGGGGGGTCATTAGAAAGGGCTTTTAATTCTCTATACATCGATTCTTACTTTTTGAAAATCGATCCATTATTTTAGAAAATATGCAGCTTTGAAAATACGAACAATATTTTTGACGAGAAATGCGAAAATCGATTTAATTTTACTTCAAAACTTACGGTATTAGCTTGGTAAATTCCTTCAAAAGAATTCGCTGTTTTTTTTTTCTGATTTGCGAATTCTTTAGCCTGATTTTGGTGAGCAAAAAATTGTCCGCTTTTTGTTTCGTATTTAGATAGGCCACAAGAAGTTGCTAGATAACTGTCTTGTGACTTGTAGTTGAAGAGTACCAATACTGCCGAGTCTTTTAAATTGATTAATTATGGTGTACTCAATTCCAGAAAGAGTAGAAATTATTGAGCTTTTTTTCAAAAACAATGAATGCGGAAATCGGGTCGCCGAACTGTTCAACCAACGGCATCCTGAGAAACATGCGTCTGGAAAAATTGTTCGCGAATTGGTGGCCAAATTTCGCGAAACTGGCTCCGTTCATAACAAAAAGAGGCAGGTTGAAAATCCGGTACTAAATGAACCTACGGAAATAGCGGTATTGGGGCAAGTGGCAATGGATAGTACGCTGAGTACAATGCAATTGGCTACTGCGACAGGAGTGAGTCGTACAAGTGTCCAACGAATATTAAAAAAATACAAATTCCATCCTTATAAGATTCGGCTAGTGCAAGAGCTAAATGAAGACGATTTTGATCGTCGTTTGCAATTTTGCGAAATAATGACTGAACGAGCGATAAACGATAATTTCCTCTTTAATGTGTGTTTTTCGGACGAGTGTACGTTCTTCTTGAATGGTTTAGTGAATCGCCATAATTGTCGTTACTGGGCTGATACCAATCCAAGGATTTTCCATGAGACACACTCCCAACACCCCCAGAAGTTGAATGTATGGGCAGGTATTTTTGGAAATTCCATTGTAGGTCCTTTTTTCCTTCCTGGAAATTTGACAGGCGATATGTACTTGGATTTACTACAAAATGTCATCGACCCAGCTCTAACAAATATCATAGAGGACGACCCTGCTTACAATGAACACGAACTGATTTTCCAGCAAGACGGAGCTCCTCCACATTACTCGCTCAATGTGCGCAATTACCTAAATGAGACGTTTCCAGGACGCTGGATAGGACGAAGAGGTGCAATTGAGTGGCCCCCTCGGTCACCCGACTTAAATCCTTTAGATTTCTTTCTCTGGGGGCACATTAAAAGCAAAGTTTACAGCACTCCACCTGATACCTTGGAAGATCTGCGAGGACG